TTTTTTTAAAGGAGTGGGGGGGAGTCTTTTCACAGTGAATCTTCTTTTCAGAGTGGGGTTTGGTGGGACTGCAAGTCCAGACCTTGGGCTTTATATTCTGTAGGGCAGGAGCTGGGTCCATCGTCTAGGAGAGTTAGAATGTTCTGTGGGTCGAACCTTGCAGTTGGAGGTCCTCAGGGGAGGAGGGTGTCATGTGCCTTAAGGGGCTTATATTCTGTAATTGAGGTCTGATAATGAAGAGTATTGCCATTTTATTAATCTTATGTAGACGCTTCCAATTTTGATGAATATTTTAGCTTGATATTGAATTCTGGTGTATCGATATAAGTTGGGATCTAGGAGAAATTATTAAACACAACCAATCTCAGATTAGGCCTTGAGGTCTTCAGACCTTTCAGCAGAGGGTGGCATTCCCTTCTTATTTACTTGTCATCAGGTGGCAAAATTTGAGGTTAACTTTTTATGAAAGATAGTGTAACATCTTCTTAGCCTTCCAGGATACTCTTTACCATTGCCAAGGCCATGCAAATGAACTAATTCCAGTAAGTTGACAAACATGTCACTTCTGTCATCCTATTCTAGTGTAGTTAATCTTAAGTGTATCACTGTTTTGCCTGGCTATACATTTAAATTAGTAGCATTTCAGTGATATTTAATCCAATACTTGAATTTCCATTCATCAGAGCTTCTGCTTACTCAGAGTCACCAGTCTATGAGATGCCTGCATGAGAAAACACTCTGGACCATAATGGGAGTCATTTGCTCAAATTGAGAGGGCAGCATGTCCACAGATGCTCTCAAAGGAACATATCCAGCTTGCCTGTTTCTGAAGTTCTCATTTACATGTACCTTATTCACCCTGTGATATCCCTTTGCTACATTCCACGATTATCACAGCAGTAATCATCACATGTTGTTTACAAAAAAAAATCAGTGAATTACACAAAGAAGTGTTGTTTCATGACGCAAACATTCCAAGATGTAAGAATATGTTAAGTCTCCATCTATCATTGTCAAAACCAAGCACAGAGGGTCAAAATTTAGCTATGGAACAGGACATTGTATTTCTTTGCATCTTTTAGCTAACAGTAGCATTTGATCCATTTGTGATCACTTACCATATCTCTTGGAGTTACTTTAATACAGACGTTATTAATCCATCTCTGGTCTTCATATCAAAAGTCAAGTACTCCTTGCATGGTCAATACTCTGAAAATTTCTCATAGAAAGAAAATTTTGCAAAGGTTCTACCAAATTCTGTAGGTACATGACAGTAATATCTAAGGAAAATAGTTGTTCTTATGGTTTTGAATATAATGTTTTATTCAAAATTCTATGCAGAAAAGTTTTGGAAAACAACTAAATAAGTAAGAATTTGTGTAATCTTATTTAAGGAGGTAATGATAAAAATGCAAATTTGAAATTGCCTCTAGCCTCTCTTAGCTAACAGAATAAATCTTAGCTAAATCATTTATCCTCACTCATACATATTCATAATTTTACTGTAGCCTGGAAACTCAGAGGTAAAAGAAAGACCTTTAGAGCTAGCTGGGATGTTACTGGTAAACAGATTAAAACTCATATATTTGGCACGATGCCTTGGTCAAATCCCTTCTTCCTGACTGGGTTTGTCTCCAAATGGTGCCTCTGTCTCAGGCTAGACACTATTTTGTTTTCTTCAAAGAACCAGAATCAAATCCATACTTCATTTTAATCTCTTTATCCTAAGAAATTGGTGCTACCTGTCCTGAAAAGACCATAATGTGCCTTTGTTTGAGTAAATTTGTTAAGACGGTGTGTGGCTTTTTCTCTTCAATGATATAGATACTATTGGGCCTTATTGTCTAAGAGAAAGCAAGTTTGCAGAAAAATTTACTACCACCTTTTTATGATAATTAATGTTATGAACATAACAAAAATATTTTGATGAAATTTCTTTTCCTTTGGTAAGAAAACTTTTTTGTTTTGTTTTTGATTTTCAGTGCTTTTAGGGACATGAGATGGCTCAGCGGGTGAGCACACTTGCCACCAAACCTGATGACCTGAGTTCAGTTCTGGGGACCCCCATGATAGCTGGTGAAATCAACTTTCTCCCTTTGACCTCCACACATTCACAGTTACACACCCCAAAATGAAGGCTTAATATCTATTTGTATATATGTTATTCAGTTATATATGAAAGAGAATCACGCCACTTTCTCTTTCCATTTCATTCCGCCAGACCCTCCAGCTTCCCTTTTTGAAACCCTCCCATGTCTCCTTCTCACAAATTGACGGCCTCTTTTTCTTTTATTATATTTGCTACATGCATACATATGTATGTGTATACACAAATTTGTATCAATACTGTGTCCATTTTTGTCGTTTGTGCATATGGTTTCAGGACTGTCCTGTCCGCACTGGACAACCAGTGAGCCTCAGGGAGAGGCTGTCTTTCCTAACGGTTGCTTTAGTTCTTTGCCGAGGAGTGAGACCTCATGTTTTCCCCTTCCCTGTTAGCATGCCCATTGATATTGCCACTGTTCCATTTTTGTTTATGCAGACTTTTCTAGGAGACACTGTTTCACAGCAGACTCCCTGCTGTTCTGGCTCTTAATGTCTTTGCGCCCCTCTTCTGCCAAGGTTTCCTATGCCACAGCTGCAGGAGCTGTGGTGCTGATGTGGCTACTGAGGTGATGCATCTTGGAAAAAAGAACATACTAAAGTCACTTTGCCAGGCCAGCATAACTACCTAGTACATTCCAGTCTTAGCCTTATACCCCAATTAAGTATAGCTAACTACTCTAATCTAAGAATGTCACAACTGGACACAGTGCAGACCCTGGAGAGCCCAAAGTCATCTCAGCTTCTGTAAGACATGCTTAAGCTGGGCTCCTCAGATGGGATGATGAAGACATTGGCTTTCCTCTCTCTCTCTTTTTTATTTAGTTTTTCATTTAAATTAGAAACAAGCTTGATTCACATGTCAACCCCAGCTCCCTCTCCCTCCCCTCCTCCCCAGCTCCCCCACTGAATCACCCAACCCCCCACCCCATTCTCCAGGGAGGGTGAGGCCCTTCATGGGGAATCTCAAAGCCTGTCATATCATCTGGGGCATGGCCTAGGCTCTCCCCTATGTGTCCAGTCTAAGAGAGCATCCCTCCATGTAGAATGGGCTCCTGAAGTCCATTCGGATGCCAGGGATAAATACTGATCTAGTAGCCGAGGCTCCAAAGATTGCCAAGGTCTCTTCACTGACACCCATGTTCAGGAAGTCTGGATCAGTCCCATGCTGGCCTTTCAGTCATCAGTCTGAGGTCCATGAGCTCCCTCTTGTTCAGGTCAGCTGTTTCTGTGGGTTTCACTTGCCCAGTCTTGACCCCTTTGCTCAAAAAATCAACAAGATAGACAAACCTTTATTCAAACTAACCAAAAGGCAGAGAGAGAGAGAGAGACAGAGACAGAGACAGAGACAGAGAGACAGAGAGACAGAGAGAGAACATGCAAATTAACAAAATCAGAAATAAAAAGGGGTATATAACAATGGACAATGAGGAAATCCAGAGAATATTCAGGTCATACTTTGAAAACCTGTACTCCACAAAATTCAAAACTTTAAAGGCAAGGTCATGGGGGCGCTCTATGTGGACCAGGAGTCAACGAAGTCAGAATTCTAAGCTGCATCTGTTCTTATTAGTGCATACCAGCAAACGTGGAGAAATGTTCTGATAATCATGTTATTATATAAACCAATCCTTTGCCTGAAATTGCATATTCAAATTTATAAAATAGCAAATATATATTTATAAATATTTTCTTAAGATATTCTATATAAAAACTTACAAATGTGCCAGGTGTTAGTGGCACATGCTTTTAATCCTAGCCCTTGGGAGGCAGAGACAGGTGTATCTTTGTGAGTTTGAAGCCAGCCTGGTCTACAGAGTGAGTGCCAGAACAACCAGAACTATACAAAGAAACCCTGTCTAGAAAAAAATCAAAAAATTATATTTATAGACATAAATAGTTTTTATTAAATCAAAAGAATGTCTTGGTTTACAAGGAGCTGAGACAGGAGGATTATGAGTCTGAAGGTAGGATGAGCTACATGATGAGTTTTATAGCAAGTGGGTACATAGTGAGACCCTGTCATGAAAACAGTAAATGATTCAAATAAAATAGGGGAGGAGAGAAACTCAGAAACCCCACTCACCCTGGCTTTAGTAGAGGTAGATTCTTGCTATCTAACTCTTTCCTTTATAAAATGAGCAGCTCTACGCTGAATGCTTTTGAAGTAAATCACAGCACAGATCATTCCTAGGCCCTGCCAGCTCATCAGCATTACAATTTCTGCTAGAACAAGATATTTGTTATGGGAGGTTGGGAACCTTCAGCTGATGTGGCCTTGCTAGAGGAAATGGTACCGTGAGGAGTGGGTCTCAGAGACTGGGGACCTGCTTCCGGTCTGCATGCACGTGAATCCGCTCCCCCAGGACCCCCCCCCCAACGTAGGAAGAGACATTAGGACCACGCCGCTAACCACACCCACTTTGGGGTGACTTGAGGCCCATATGGATGTGGTAATGAAAGGGCGGTTAACTAAGCCACTAACCACACCCACTTTGGGCATGTATGGAGGAGTTAATAATAGACACTGCAGGAGAGAGGCATGCTCTCTCTTCGGCTCTCTGTGGCGAAAGCTGCTGATTCACCTTGGTTACCCGTTTTCTCTTGTAAGTAATTTCTACAACAGTTATTTATACCCTCAACTGCTCTGTTTATAGTTACACCCCACCACCTCTTTTATCTAGTCATAGAGATGTAAGACATCCCAGTCATATGCTCTGGCGACCATTAACTCCTTCATGCCTTCTCTGCCGTGGCAGACTGTGCCCTTAAACCATGAGCCAAAATTCAACCTTGCCTTCAGTTGTCTCTTGTTCTCATTGTCACTACAATGAGGAAAGGTTGAGTGACACAGGGAAAACACAGTGTCTTTTACTCTGAGATATTAAACATCCTGTAATTTAGTGGCCATGGTGTTTCATGCTTGTGATGGTAGCTGCTCACAGCCTGGGTTGAGAGGATCGCTTGAGGTCAGGAAACATGATGAAACCTCCAAAACAACAAAACAAACAAATGGACAATTAGTGAATGCCATCCATTTTACAACTGAAGTCACAAAGTTTTTATACTAATAGATGAATCAATGAAGACTTCAGGAAAATCAAGCTAGATGTGTGAGAGGTTGGATGGCAGAATGGCTTAAGGTAAATTTTCTGGAAGATTGGAACATATTGACCTTCCAACAAACTGATCTCAGCTAAGGTTAGTCAGCTCCTGATACTGCAACAAATACCCAAGATAACTTGAGAAGAGAAAAAAGGTTTCTGCTCACTCACAGTTTTAGTCTTCAGTTTACCATGGCAGGGTGCATGGAGGAGAAAAACCACCATTATCCCCTGCCAGGGCACAATCCCAGTGACCTGAAGACTTCTCACTAAATGTTAAAGGCACCAAATCTTAAAGTTGCTTCTGCCTCCTTAGTGCAAGCTAGGGTCAAGGTTTAACTCACACCCACCTGGTAGCATGAGGCTTTCCAAACCCAGTGAGAAGAGACTATAATTTCTGAGGTTGATATAATGGTATAGTAGCAAGTGGACATAATTTGGGGTTGATTTTCTTGATATCTGTAACCTTTTTGGGATCCACAGAATAGTCTCCATGAGATAATGTTAACTACAAAAAGAAAAGTAAATAAATACTGTAATTCACATACAACTGTGAAAGGCTGACCTGTCTATAAATAAGTTGATAAAACAGTGTATAACAGAGAAGAGTGAATCAACACACACACACACACACACACACAGGAGAGAGACTGATTCCCATGTCACATGTGTTTCCTTTCCCAGTTCTATCTCCTTCCATTTAGGTCCTGGTTTGTCTGCTGTGATGGAAGAAGTCCTTCTTGTGTACATGTGTGCCCCATTAGTTGATAAATAAAGCAAGATAGGTGGGACTAGGAGGGGTGGAGGATTCTGGGAAATGGAGGCACAGACAGTCATGTAGGACACAAAAGAAGTAAGAGGTCCAGATCCCTTCTCTGGAAGAGAAGACCACATGGAAATACTCAGTTTAGCAGTTATGGGTTAATAATTAAGTCAGAGCTAGCCAATAAGAAACCATAGAAAACGGCCAACAGCTTCATAATTAATATAGTGTCTCATGTGTTATTTTGGGACAGGGACAATGGCAGGACCCAGGCAGCTGGCGGGAAGGGGTACATGTTAACACTGCTGTCTGCACAGATGTCTATCAGACAAGCCAGTAGGTTTTCAGTTAACTCCACATTGCCTCCTGACACGATTCTGAGAACAGGCTGAGTGCCATTTGTGCTTTGATGTGCGGGTTTCCTTTCAAGCCAGTGAAGGTCTGTTCCATTACTGCAACTAGAAAGAAGAGATTTCTTTTTCTACAGGAATCAGAGTGGCCTATTGTCCTTTTGATACTGTTGGAGTTTTCTTTCAGGGACCTTTCTGATTTTAGCACCATGTTCCTTTCCTGCCCCAAAGATCAGCTATTTTCTAAGCCAGTATCTTCCTTAAAAAGATGTGTTACAAATCTAACCCATGAAATGAAACACAATTACATTAAGTGTTGAGCCATACTATTAATATCAGAATACAATGGCCAGCCATATAACTGTGCTTTCTTTGGCGAGTCACAACCTGCAGTTTACTTAAGCTTTATTTAATGCAAGAGTCTGGAATTGAACTGGAAGCAGGCTCCTGTTTGTGGGGTACATTCTGGTCCTGGAATTCCTCACTGTCAACCTGATTGCTGCCTTCCAGTCTCCACACCTAGGTTTATTGATAAATGCTGTAAGATTTTATTGTTTTCTAACTAGTAATATAGATCCTAACACTCTTCTACTTTTTTGTTCTCTCTCTCTCTCTCTCTCTCTCTCTCTATCTCTCTCTCTCTCTCTCTCTCGCTCTGTGTGTGTGTGTGTGTCTGTCTGTGTGTGTGTGTGTCTGTCTGTCTGTCTCTCTCTGTCTCTCACAGCAGGAAGAAACTGTTCTTTGACAATTTTCCTGGGGAGATGTAGCACAAACATCTACTTATCCTAGATGAGAAGTTCACTAAGACCAAAGTAGGAAAACCACCGAAGTCCAACTTGGTGAACCAATGAGTTTTATTGCAGTCACAGCAATATAGATGAGGGGTTACTTACAGGAGTAAAAGGACCCAAAGATATCTGCATCACAGAAGTCTACCTCAGCATGGATGACAGCTCACAAAAGCTAGGAGCCTAAAGCTCACTGAACAGACTCTAGTCAGCTCAACAGGATGGACAGTGCCCCTTCTAAGTGACTCGGTTGTCTAAAGCTCTTTCAAACCTCTTGGCTGGTTTCTGCTTCCTTCAGGCAGCTAGTCCTCTACTTCTGCTCATTTACTGTAGGGAAGAAGGGGGCTAGAGAATCTGGTCTGTTTCAGGAATCTCATGAAACTGCTTTGAGATGCTTACCTTCCTGCTTAAGGAGTGGTTCTAAAGAATGGAATGTTTCAACCCCCTAGGAAATTGTTACATAGCAATCACCTGTTGGCATGACTGTGTGCTGGATTTTCTGCCTAGTCTCTTGACATGCTACCCTGGAATACATGCATACATACATACACACATACATCCATACATCCATACATACATACATACATACATACAGATATATATGTTGGCTCTATTACTCAGCTTCGTAGCAACCACCATTTCTTCAGTTGCCAGTCTGAAAACCCGACAAATCTGATAAATCCAGGGCCAACTGTTTTCTGTCAACCACCACTAACCCTCATTTTGGAATTTGGTTCTATTTATCCTAATTTTCTCATGGATTCATTTATTCAAAATTTATCTGAGAATCTGTGGAATCTCCCTTTTAATTCCAGGAGTAACCCCATAATCCAGAAGTCCATGATAACATCATTTCACCCTTCCTCCTTCAGTGAACTGAAGTATGGGGATCTGGTTATTATCTCAACACATTGCCAACTCATTCTTTCTGGACTCCCCAGGTCTTGGTACATTTGAATTTAGGGGATACCTGACTGATTTTGTAGCAACATTTCACTACAGCATAGAAATACTCAGTATGCGAAACACTATAATATGGTGCTTCAAAAGCATAATTTTCTCAGTTTTAAGCTTTGCAGATTTTAACTAAGCATTGTAGATGCTGAGAGAGTGGGGCAGATGCCAGACACCATGACAGGCTGCTCAGTCTTCTGTCAGAGATGAAGCCTCTGTATCAGTTTCCTAAGACTGAACAAGCAGTTTCTGAAAGAACCAGGAACTATGGGTACTCAATCTTCAATTCTCCTGACACAGAGACAAGGGAGATGTACCAGGCCTGAGCCAGCCCCCATAGTACCTCAAGGCAATGACAAACTATGGACAAACCTTGGGAATTGTCCAAACATGTCCAGATATGGAGAAATTGCAACCCTAGCCAGTCCCTGCTAGCTGTAGCCAATCAGAAATGTACTAATATGACTGATACTTGCCTAACCAATTATGTTTGAGATGACCTAACTGTCTCTGAAATTACCCCTGGCTATGAGTAAAAGGAACCTGAACCTGCATGCTCTTCTCAGGGTCACCATTTGCCTCATGTCGGATGTGTGGCCCCATTATGTTGGGGTTTTTATTATTATTATTATTATTCTCAAGAATTAAATGCTCTTGACGATTGCATACATTTATGGTTGTCTTTTGTGGGGCTTCTCCAGGTCCCTAACAATGTCTAAGTGTTAAGTGTGAGTAATAAAGAAAATTAACCTGATATCTTTACATCTTTCTAGATTCTTCCTCAGCTCTCTGTGGCAAAGGGCACTATTAGAACCTTTCGTGAGCTGCAGTGGCTCCCATTCCCTGCTACTCTGCTCTAGATCCACAGCTAGTAATGTGACCATTTCTAAAATGGGTCTGGGTCAGTGAGTAAGGGCAGCTCCTGATCCTGTACAAGACTGGAGTTCAGTTCCCGGCATCCACATGGCAACTCACACTCACCTATGATCCAGTGTCCCTTTCTGAACTCTGAGGGTGCCTGCATTCATGTGCACAGATCCACACATAGACATGGACACATGCACAGCATTAAAAGGACTAAAATTAATCTTAAATAAAATGAACTTGGAATTCACAACCTGGTTATTTTTGTTTTAAGTCTTCGAACAGTCCTTTTCTGTCCCATAATTTGGAAAATGGATCCTTGATCACTCATATAATCATATGAAGTATTGCTATGAGAAGATGAAGGGCAAAAGAAATCCCATATTCATGTTGTAAAAGGGCCAGTGGAACTGGATCGGCTAATGTTAGGGTACTTACCACTTCATTCAGTAGCTGGGACTCATCTCCATATTGGGCCAGAAAGTCCTTGAAGACCAACCACAAATCTTTTTTATCTTCATGGCATCAAGGTTGGCATGGTGCTTGGCATAGAAAAAAAGTTCAATCAGTGTCTATTGTCAATGACTACCTGTCTTTCCAGGCTGACACACAAAAAATGAATAGCATTTCTTCTATTCACACACACACAAAATGCCTCTTAAGGAGTAAAAGATTTTTTTCCCCCAATTCACATTTAAAATACTAAAAATCAAAATTCTTTTAAGAAGGCTCACTAAAACCTGAATTGAATTTCTGTGAATGACGTTTTTTCTGTAGTACTACAAACACACCAATAGTATTTGGCAGATAATTAATCATTCAGAGCAACCTAGATATTTTCAATTTTATACTTTTAGTTTTATTTCTTCTCGACTATGAAAAATGAAATTGAAGTTATAAATTTACTTTGTCAGCTTGTACATAATGAACAACTGCTGTGATAATCACCAGCAAAGGTTAGAAAACCAAAGAAAATTTAATATACTATTTCTATATTTTACATTTTACAAAGGTATTTGCCATACATTAGAAACTACCTTGGGATATTTTGAAGGTAGTTATGCAGCAGGTCTTTACCAGGCCATGGTGAAGATGAGAGTGAATGAATGTTCACAGACTTACTGCTCACATGTGACCACTACATTTACCAACCAGAATCACTGGGATTTGAACTAAGGGGCCCCGGTTCCCAATGCTTCGCTTGCTTTCCAACCCACTACACAACTAATTCTGACTAACTGCAATCCCGTTTAAATGCACAGAACAATGTGTCTCTCATTCATCTGTTCTCATTTTTTTTCTGTTGCTGAGATACAACACTCTGATCAAGATCGACTTAGGGAAAGAGTTTATTTTATTTCACACTCCAGGTTGAGGAAAGGTGTGTTAGTTGCTATTACTGTGATGGAACACCATGACCAAAATCAATGTATAGGAGGACGTTTGTTTTGTTTTTGTTTTTGGGTTCCAGAGAAAGAGTTCTTTATTGTAGGGAAGCATGGTGGCAAGCGTCAGACATGGCAGCAGGAAACTGACAGAGCATGTCTCAACAGCACAAAGAAAGCACATAGAGTGAACTAGACGTGACTCGAGGCTACAAACTTCCAAAGCCCCGCCCCCCCAGTATTGTACTTCCTCCAGTTAGGTTCCGCTTCCCAAAGATTACATAATCTTCCCAACAAAGCTACCAAGTTGGACCATATGTGAGCCTCCAAGGACATTTCTCCTGCAAACTGCTGCAGAAGGCAAGGCAGGAAGCTGGAGGCAGGAACCACGAGGGAATCCTGATTGCTGGCCTATAAGCAGGCTAATGCTAATATATCTTTTTATACAACCAAGGTCACCCACCTGGGGGCAGTGCTTCCCACAGTGGGCTGGTCTCTCCTTCATCTGTTAGCAATCATCGACATTTTAAAAATAATACGTACAAAAGAAAATTTGTTATCACTATTATGACACTCAGCTGACTTAATTCCTCTCTCTCTCTCTCTCTCTCTCTCTCTCTCTGTGTGTGTGTGTGTGTGTGTGTGTGTGTGTGTGTGCCTGTGGCATGTGTTTCTCTCTCTTTAATGGGATCTCCTATGAAGTCCAGGCTGGCTTCGAACTTGTGATCCTCTTACTTCAGTCTCACAAATGCTAAGATTAGAGGCATGAACCACCACACCCAATATTATTTTTAATATATCCTTTAAGAATTTTAGTCATCACTGATCTGTACCTCTAATAACATGAAGATAATGCATATGCTAAGCCTTCTCAGCTAACTAACATGCTCTCAGAATTGTCTTCTCTGTTTATGGCCAAGACCTACTAGGTTCAAAATGCAGTGGCGGGATAGATAAAGAGGAATCAGATATTAAGTTTTTTGGCATGAATTGAACTAGAGACCATCACATCAGTAAATGCAGGAAATTCTTTTTATTTGCTCCAGGAAGATTTTATGTATATCCAAACAGTCAGGAAATCAAAGGCTGTAAATGGTGAGCTGAGGCTTGCATTTAATTTTGAAGACATCAATAAATATTTTATCTTCTTTAGACACAGAGATGTGCATTTTTCATAAATCAGATGAGTCTCCTGTATCAAGTGTTGTATTTCTCACCTCTTTTATTTCTTGGACTTCTTCATTTCCCAGTGTTTCTCTGTGTGAAAACCTCGAGTGTTTCCCTGTTCGTTCTCGCAGCCAGTTAGAGCAAGGACGATCCTTTCAAGCATGGATTTATTGCTGCTAGTGCTGTGTGATACCAATAACTGCCACTGTGAACAGCTTCCTGATATTCTTCAGAAATGTCTTACTCCTGTGTCACTCTGCACCCCTCACCGTAATGTTTCCAATGACTCCACACCTGATTTCTACAAAGCACCAACAAAATATGAAATGAGAAAAAAGAGCAAGAAAATCTGCTCCTTCTCCAGATTCCTCCATTTTGTCTGATGGAAATGGACAGGTAGTTTATTAGTAACACTACAGAATGTTAGAGCTGAGTGTTCCATGTGTCCCAATGGGACATTTTCCCTATGCTATTTAAGTGTGAATCTTCTCTGTTGTAAACCTCGCTCTCTTTAACATCCAAATGTCGCCCTGTGATGCCATCTCCTTCTGCAATGACTTAACCCAAGGAGTTGTCCTCTGAAAGAAACATTTCCTCTCTAAAAGAGAAATTTTGGTTGATAGTTTAAGTTTGTGTTACTGCTCCTACCACTCCTTTTGATCAAACGGCTAAGTTACTAATGTTAAAAACCACCTACAGGCATTCATTATGTAGTGACTCTCAGAACCTTCTGGAGAACTGAAAAAAAAATTGTTTCTCTATTTCTGAGACTGCTGCTGGCAGACAGCCCTCAGTTGCCAGCTCTCTTCCAGGCTTGCTGCTGAAGGTCAAAAACAATCCTAGAGACGATATGTGTCCAGCAGTTGGTGAACACAAAGCTATCAGGAATTGCCCTCTTGGCTTCCATTTGACATAAAGCCAAAGGACATCTATAGCTTTATAACTACCTGATGTGTCAACTTGAGGGCACTTGATAACAGTCAATGGCAAGACTTCATCTAGTCTTGGCCAATTGAGCTCTTTGATAAACTTTCTGCATGCTGGTCTACATCTTCACCTGTTTTCTTTGGAACCCACCCTGGGTAGGCTCTTAATTAGTATCCTTCCTGACAGTGACCAGATGACTCAGATAAGAACCTCTCAACACTTTAAGGCAAATTCAAATTACTTCTTCTCTTGAGAAATTCTGCTTTGCAGGTTCAGTTAGTTGCTCAGACAGTGGCCTTAGCATGGAAGCCAGGTGTCAGAATTTTCAAATTATCTGCATAAGTTCTAATTTAACAGTAACTTTGGGAAACGCATGGCCAATCAACTTGACTATGCTTCATTATGTCCTTCTCCGACCTGGGTGTCTATAAAAGTACCTTTGCTCCTTCTTTGGAGGTCATCCTTGTCCTTGGAGTTCAGTCTTGTCCTTTACTGCTTATATCTGGAGCCAAGCTTTTCCTCTTTGAGTCTATTAACTAACTTCAGAGAGTTTCCCGAGTGTGATCACCATTCATCCATCATTGAAGCTCCTATGATTTGGATTTTTCACAAATTGCATGTTTCCTGAAGGATTAGTTAAATTAGAATGTGGCAAGGCGATAGAAGAACCAACAAGCAGAAAGAGCAAAACATGGTATCCTTCAAAGGACACAAAAATAAGCTGGACACACTGTTTAATAATTCTATCGCTTGACTGATAAGTCACAATTACAGAAAATGCATTCATTTATTTTCATCTTATTTATTATTATTGTACTATGTATGGAGGGTGGGGTAGCATGTACATGCCAGGGCACACGTGTGGAGGTCAGAACATAACCTAGGGTATGGACTTTCTCTTTCTACCATAGGTCCTAGGTATCAGAATTACACAATGGGAACTTTTATCCCCTGTACCATCTTGACAGACTTAAAATAAATCGTTTGAGGAAACAAAGTGAAGAAGCAAAAACAAATAGATAGAAAAAATACCTCCATCCGTGTCCTCTCTCCAGGCTGTGGCAAGTCTATATCTGGCATACCCAAATAGGAGCTCTCATAACATGAGGTGCACATATTGAGGTGTCAGTTTGTAGAGTACCAATTTAAGGAAATATATATTAAATTTTTCTGAATCATTAATATTAGCATTTATGTGGCACTTCTGAGCTTATAGAGTACCTTTATATCAATTATTTTATCTCATTGTATTTACTTGTGCTGAATGATTAGCTAAAGTGGGAGGTACTGGTGATAAGTTCTTATTAAACTATGGTTAACAGAGACAATCTGATGTATTTGTTCTGTGGTCAGTATATCAGGTCATTGAAGTTTAATGCTACACGATGACCTAAGTTTTAAAAGATTCCTATGCACACAGTCAAAGGGCTTAAGAGGAATGGTGCTATTAAAAATGGAAATATTAGAAAGTGGATATAGAATCAGGTGAACCCAGCTAAAATGGATGATTCTGTGAACATAGCCAAGTTATTAAATCTGCATTTTGAACATGCAAGTCCACATGGAAGATCTTCAAAGTAATAAAGTTCGACTTCTTTGGGATCTATCATTTCCAGGCAATTTAATAAATTTTTAGCATTTTTATGCTTCCAGGTTTCCTGTATATACTTGGCTTTTCTTCCAAAACTGGCAATTAAGGACGTGAGGATGATAAGTGTGGAAGCTTTCTGGCCGCTGGTGCCTGGAATCATGCATAGCTTTTTTCTAATTAACCTCACTTTGTGGGCCAAATGCTTTAGAACACTCTAATGCTGTTTTTAATAATGGCCCATGCTTGAAAGTTTCTTTTTCCTTGCAATTTTTTATTTTAAAGACCTGTTTATCTTTCTGCGTGTGTCTCTGTGTGAATGTATATACACGTTAGTGTGCACATCTGTTTATGTATGTGTCTGTGTGTGAATTACACCATTAGTCTGAACATCTGTGTGTATTGTTGCCCATGTTTGTGTCTGACAGGAGGGGGGGTGTGGATTGAAAAGTGGCAGGTCAAAAGATTATAGA